TGAAGGGGTTGCCATGGCTGGTGGTGACATCTGGCTGTGACAAAGAACCTTCTCTGACACCCCGGATGCAGAGCCCTGTGTCCCAGCTGAAGCTCTGTCGGAGAGTGGGTGCAATGTTACTTGCTTTTCTGCGTGGCCAGGATGGGTTCGTGCTTACTGTGACTGGGGAGGGAGCGCTTGCACGCTGTGCGGACAGGTGGCCCGGAACTTAGGTTTGACCAGTGCAGGCCAGGGCCGCCCGGGCTGGCTGGGGAGAGGGACTGTGTCTGCTCCCACGTCCACCATCAGGGATGTTCCGAGTGCTCACACCATGGAAATGGGCACACAGGCAAACAATACAATCGGGACTCGCCCAGCACCCACTCCCCGCCGCCTCCCGTGAGAGCTGGTGGTTAAACACTTACTGGATAACCCAGCCTCTCCGTAGGCCGGGAAGACTGCCCCTTGAAAGAAAGGCTCTGGGGATGGGAGCAGGATCTGGGGCCTCTGGGGTGTTTACTAGTGAGGGCCGTGTGCCAGCTCTGGGCTGCCACGCTGGGCTGTCTGAAGGCACCGGTGGGCTCTGCTTCCTGCCTCCGGGCGCAGGGGGGCGGCGCGGGGCGGGCGGCGTGGAGCACTGAGCCTGGGCTGGAAGCCACTTACTCCGTCGCTGCAGTCACATGGAAAGCCTCCCAGGTTTGGCTTTCTTTTTTCCATCCCATCCTGAGTTGCCGACAGAGGGTTCTCTAACTCCCAGAGGGTGCTCTGGGGGCTCCCTCCTTGAGGCGGGGCCCTGGGTGTAGTCGCTGCATCGGGAGAACGGGACCCCTGGGCGGGGCCGACCTGTGGTCTCTGCCCACTGTTGCCGCGTGCCCAGGGCGTGCTTACGTTCCCGGTCCCCACTGTTTCCCACGAATCTGCAGTTATGGGTGGAGGTGTGCCACCCTGTGGGAGAAGCCCCACCGGCTGCCAGACCTTGGCTCGCAGGACCCCAGTTCAGGGACACAGGGGGCACGGCATGTACCCACTCAGGGCAGGTGTTCTGTTCAGAAAAGGCCCTGGGGCTTGCCCATCCCCGTCCCCAGAGGCAGGCCGTGTGAGCTCAGCGTCAGCGGGTGGCGGGTGGCCCATGGCCCTCTTCTTCTGCAATCAGGTCTCGCTGGACTTCGTGAAGAGTGGGGACTACGCCCTGGAGAGGATGGGGGTGACCTACCCTGCCCAGGCTCACCTGAAGTCTCCCTTCGACCCCGACAACAGGAGAGTGAAGGGGATCTACTGACAGGCCGGCCACCGGGCAGAGCCTCGGCTGATCAGGGGGCCAGCGTCCTGCCACCCCGTCCCATGCGATCCACCCCCACAGGCCCGCGCCGCCCTGGGCCCCAGGACCTGGACCAGAATCTGGGTCCCCCTGCCCTCAGCTGAGGCCTGCTAACCACCCCCCAACAGATGCAGACAAGGAGGGTGGGAAGAGGACCCAGAAGGCCCCTTCTGTGGTCACTGACCAGAGGGCGGTCGCAGTCCACCCCACCCCAAACCAGCTCGGATGCCTTGGGCTCGGGACCACGCATGTAGCCGCACGCGCTTCTGGGAAGGTGCTTAGTAAACACCAGGAGTCAGAGCAAGGAGGCGCGGGACTTCCCGCCGTGTCCCGCTCCCGAGCAGCGGGGTGTGTCTGCAGTGGGGGCCGCGTGGGGATTGACTAGCACTGTCTGCCGGGGCGCAGCAGGGGCAGCTGAGAGCGCGGCGCCCGCAGCCCAGGCTGGCGGGATGATCTGCTTCCCAGATGCTGGGAGGGGCTGGGAACCCAGAAAGCAGCGCTTCCTGCCTGACACCGCAGCTCTTCACACGGGAAAGCCCCCTGAGTGTTCCCAGCCTGAGATCAGCGCGGGCGGAGGGAGGGGGCTCTCAGGTGGGCCCTGCCCTCGCCTGGGCAGAAGCTCCCTCTCCTGCCCTGGCCTCCCCGGAGCCCCCGCTCGCTGGGTCTGGAGAGGGAGCAGGCTGCTGGGTAAGAAGCGGCGTGATCCTCCTGGCCAGGGCACGGCTCCGGTCCTCGTCTCCCCGCTCTCCCGCGGCCCCGGGGAGGGACCCACGGAGGGCCTTGGGGGCTCCCCGCCCCCTTCTCGGGGCCTCCGGGCTCTCATCTGTGCATCGGGAGGAGCCCTGCCTCCCTGCCGGGGATGGTGCCCGGCCCAGGGCCCAGGCAGCCCCAGCAAAGCTGCCCCGCATGGCCGTGCCCAGTGGGGAGCAGCGGCGGCAGACACCCAGTCGCCCGAAGGAAGCCCTGTGGTAACTGGAGCGCGGGTGATCCCCGGCGGGCCCGGGCTGCTCTGAGATGCCCCAACCGCGCAGCCCCACTGTGGACGGGGCCAGAACAGGCCAGGCTGATAACGCCAAGGCCACGGGAGGTCGTCTGGGCTTCCGCTGGGCTTTGGAAAGTTCATTTGGGCCCCTCGCCAGACCACGAGCTGGGGGGTAGGGGCCTGTCTTTCGCCTCCTCGGGCAGAGGAATGCCTGCAGGGCCCTGCTGACGGGCGGGCCTGGGTCCTGCATGGGAGGGCCTGGGAGGTGCCGAGGGGGACCCATGAGGCCCAGGAGGGGAGGGCAGCCGGCTCCCCAGGTGGCCTGGCCTGCTTCCCCTGGTCCGTGCACATGTCCAGTCCACCGCCATTCTTGTGGGAGGCACAGGACGAGGCGGGGTCGGACTCAGGTTCCACCCGACTCCATCCTGGGGGCTGAGCTCAGAAACAGAAACGTCCACGCTCATTCCCCTATTTGCTTTTGTTCCTCTGCTGGGGAGCTGACCCTGGCCTTCCTGGAAAGGGCACTGGGTCACCGACGTGAGCTTGGTGCTCATGAGCTGTCCGCCCCCACGGCCCCCGTCTCGCCTGCTTCACCTGCAGCTGCAGGGAGGTCCGGGCCACAGCCTGGTCGCTTAGAGCTGAGCCACGTCACCCTCCCCTTGAGCCAGTGACCGCAGGTGGGCCCGTCCTTACCCTGATCCGGACACACCTGCTGCATCTATTTTGGAAAGTTTTCTGGACAGAATGAGCACCCTGACCCTCACGTGGCTCTGAATACTGCCTGTGGGAATTCTGGGCAAGCTGGGCCAAGCTGGGCTGGACACCCAGACAGGGGAGAAGGGCCTCCCCCGCTCCCTGGGCTCTGAGACTCAGCCTGCGTGTGGCTCTAGCAGTCCCTGGAGCTGAGCCTTCTGCAGGGGGGTCGGGGAGGGGGAGCAGGCCCTTCTTGTCCAGCCCTCTCGCTACCTCCTGTCTGTCAGCCTGAGCAGCTCTCAGGGACCACGTGGGCCCCATGTCCCTACAACCAGCGAGGCATTTGCATCAGAGCCGCTGGCACCCAGGCCCTGGGCTTTGCGTGGTAGGTGGGGTGGAGCCTAGCCGGCAGGGACGAGGTGCCCCTCTCCCCAGTGAAGACCAAGGGCCCTGGCAGTGGAATCCCCAGCTGACTCTCAGCTCCCTCAATTCCCAGATGCCACACACTCACGGAGCTGGCATGGGGCCCACCTCCCTCCAGAATAGCTGGTAAGAGTGGTGACAAAATCACTTGGCAGAGAGACGCTAAGAGTTAAGTGATGGTGGACAGCGAGCCCGTCACGTGCTAAGGTCCTGGGGTGGGCCTGACCTGCCACATGACCTGGCAGTGTCTTACTCACTGGGGCTTCAGCCACCCCATCCACAAAGAGGAGAAGGGGCACTCGGGCTGCTTCACTCTTGGGGACACTTCCAGTGGAGCGTCTGCCTGCCGAGGACCCTCCCTGCCCCCACAGAAGCACCACTCAGCCTGGATAAGGCCTTTGTGCTTACCCCACCCCTGAACTGTGCACAGAGAGGCCAGAGGGCTTCCCTAGGGCGGCCAGCTCGGTCTTACCCATGTCACTGTTGGAGAGGCAGTTGCAGACCCATCTGGCTCGGGGGCACACAGAGGTGAGCCTGGAGGGCCCAGCAGGCAGCAGCCCTGGGCCCTGGCATGGCCCCCACTCCCCTGAGGGTCCTCTCCCAGTGCCTGAGCAGGGGGCGACAGGGCATCCTTTGGGCCATGGGGAGGAGCAGGGGCCGTGGCCCGGAAGGGCCTGGCAGAGCACGGCCACAGAGCTGTCGCCAGGGGGCCTGCACCTGGGACGGTGACCAGGGACCTTGTGGCAGAGCTGGGAGGCCTCAGAACACTCCCAGCGTGAGCGGGTTCCCGTCCTGCCTTCGTTCTGTCTCAGCTTTGTTCTTCTGTTTCCCCAGTTCAAAGCCTCATTGCCGAAGGCCCCGGCTGCCGGCAGGCTACCCCCGAGCACCAGCCTTAGGGATTAGCGGGCCAGGCCGGCCTGGGGGTGACGCCCCTCGGCTGCCCCCACCCGGCTCCCTGGGCCGCTCCTCCCCCACGGGCGCTCCAGGCGTCTCCTAGCAACTGCCTCCGTGGGCCCTAAATAACTGCCTCCTCTCTCCGCCTCTCCCCTCCACCTCCTCTCGCCTCCAGAAAAGCAGGCGCCTGCGATGAGGACAGCGCAGCACCCAAGTCCAGGGCAAAGCCTTGGCTTCTGACTGGGGAGGGGACAGAGGACACAGGTCCCCACACAGGGGCGAGCACCTCCTGGGCCCATGACGTCAGCACAGAGGGTTCCAGCCTAGGATCTTCCCCTGAAGGCTCCCAGGTCCCTCTTAGGAATCTGCCACAGAAACAGAAGTTTCTGGCCTGGGGTTTGTGGGACACAGTGGGCTGCCTTCCATCCAAGAGCCTCCTGAGAATGCAGGGAAACATGGAGCATGTGCGTGGGGGGGGGCAAGGGGGGCAGGGAGACTCGAGAGACAGCATAAAATAGAACCGTGTGTGTCCGAGAGAGACCGTTCGCTTTTTCAGCGCATTGTGGAAGGGCCGGAAGGGGACCAAACGGGTGCTTGGCAATAATGACACTGTTTTTCGCTGCAGTGGAGCAGAGAAAAGTGAGTGCCCCCAGCAGCCCCTGGGCTCAGTTCCTCCATCTGCACCAGAGGATGAGCGGGCGGGGCCGGGGAGTGAGCGCCTTCGACAGCTGGGGGACTCAAAGCATCTCCGACCTGAGCCTGTCCCCACTGGACCTTTGGCAGCCTGTGGGGTTGTTTCTGGCGGTCACAATGCGGGGTGCTGCTGACGCTTTGTGTTGGGGCCAAGGAGGCTGTACCTTTCACAGCAGGAGGGACCATCCTTAGCCTCAGAGACTGGTCCTGCCCAAAATGCCCCCGCGGACAACCTCCACACCCCTGTGGTGTCCAGCAGCTCTGTCCAGAGCTAGCCAGAGCTGGGCCCCTGGGCCCGTCAGGAGAGGCTCAGCTGTGAGGGTACAGGTGGCTCCCACCCTGTGCAGCTGGGCCCCAGCCGTGGCGCGGCGCGGCCCAGTTTCTGCATGATGGGAATTCTGTGTCTGGGCTGTGCACCCAGTATCCATGGTCCCATGTGGCTGTTGAGCGGTTGAAATGTGGCCGATGTGACCGAGAACCCAAACGTTTTAGTTTACATCATCTCAATTCATTCAAAATTAAGCTTAAACAGCCACTGAGCCTGGTGACCACAGGGCAGTCCAGGCCTGAAGGACACACCTGCTCCAGCCGGAGCCCACAGCCCGGACACTCCCACCCCACCGCCAGGCCCTCTCCACACTGAGTCTGCACGGGCACGCCTCCGCCTGGGCCGCCGGGCGCTTCCAGCTGACAGGTCACGTCACCCTGTCAGCCGTCGCCCCCAGGAGGCTGGGGGACCTTCTCCTCAGTGGGCGAGGGGGAGATGGAGGCCCAGAGAAGGAAAGCAAATTGGCCAGGGCCACATGGCAGAGGGAGGAACGGACACCCAGGCTGCTGGACGCCCACGCCCACACTTTCTCCACCGCCCGGGTCCTTCAGAAGGTGCGTGAGCCTGGACCCGGCCGCTGGTTTTCAGGTAATAAAGCATTCCTCCAGCTGTCCTTGCTTAGCCCCTGTGAGGACCGGGGACAGTGCCTGTTTCCGAAGTAAGGAAACAGGGATGAGAGCCCAGGCTTGACGGTCAGACAGCTGCGGGGTCACTTCCCGGCTCCCTGCTCACTCTGGGTGACCTCCGCACCTAGTCTCAGTTTCCCCATCTGTCAGTGGCACAGAAACAGCACGTATGGTGTGGGTTTGTGGGCAGCTTAGCGTGGACCAGGGTGCCTACTCCTATCAGTGACATGGGCGCAATACTCAGAGCCGGGCGCTGGGGTGGCAGGGCAGGAAGCCGGCAGCGCCGTCTGCAGGGGGAGGACAACACGTTGTCCCCGGGGAAGAGTGACCAGGCTGAGAGCGGTAGTGAGCGAAGGGGAGGGGGAGTCAGTGTGGGTGCTGGAAGGTTCTGGAACCGGGTGTGATTCCTGATCTCCACTAATCCTCCAGGGACCCCGGGCGAGGCGTTTCTCCTCTGTGAACCGCAGCTCGCAGCTCGCAGCTCCCTCCTCGGTGAGGCCAGGTTGTCACAAGTGCCTCTCGGGTGTTTGGGGAACAAAACCAGGAAGGGCTGGGCGGCATGAGGCTGGGGGGGCTCCCTCGAACCCTCTCCCGGAGCTCTGGGCTGACTGGGACCCCTGTATGGGCTGGCAGGAGGGCACAATCAGAGGGAAAAGCTGTTCTTGGGCCAGACGACCATGGCCAGAGGCTGGGGGTGTTCCAGGCCGCCTTCCCCAGGCCTGCGCCCTGCAGAGGGGCCTCCCTCCCCACTGTCATCCGAGACTATAAAGATGACGGAGGGCCGGCCGCTCTCCAGCCTCTGTCAGGCCTGGCATTTCACAGCCATCACGCCCCGGGACTTACGGCGCGGGAAGCCATGATTTATGGGACGCAGTGCCGTGCGCCTGGGCCTGCTTGTCCCGTCGGTAATGAAGTGGCTGGCAGGAGAGGCAGCTGCTTAGCAGGCCTCTGTTGAGGCGTAAGGGGGGGGACTCGAAGGTCCATCCATCACGCTCTCTCTCCCCTAAAGGCTGTGCAGCATTTTGCTGAACTGGCTGAACAGAGTTGAATCTGTCACTCCCAGCAAAAACCACCGAAGAGCTGAACTTGGCCTTAAACAAGAGGCAGCTAAGAGGGGAGGGAGGTGGAGACTGACCCAGGACGCGAGCGGCATGTTCCGCAGCACCCCGGGCTGGGCGCCTGACCCTGCGCCGGGCAGAGCGGTGTTCAGGCAATGCTTTCTCCCCTGGGGGCAGCGCCACCCCGTGTTAGCGGTCGCTGGGGGCCGGCCCGCGTGTGAGATTTATTCTCTCAGTAACCCACACGGCACTGGCCCTGGGTCACAGGAGAGAAGACCCAGGCGGGGGGCGGGGCTCCCGACACAGGCCTGATGCTAGGGCCCGCTCACCCCGTCAGACGCCCGTCCCGCTGCAGAGAGCAGTCGTCCCAGGCTAGTCATTTCGTTTCCCAGGGAGCTGGCGCCCAGACCCCAGCCTGGATCATTGCTGTCGCCTCTTTGGGTGGCGGCAGGACTTGCTGTTAGTTTCCCTTTGGGTGGGCGGAAATACCTATTTACCCTGCGATGGAGGAATTTCCCAGGCAAGTCTCTAACTAGCTAAATGGCTTGTCCTGCCTCCGTCGGCAGGGGAGACGCCCACTGTGACAAACGAGCCACTCTGCAGGGAAATGTTTAAGTAGCGCTCGCACCATCACACACAACACAACCGCCATCAGCAGGGGCCAGGGACGCAGGGCCACCCTGGGCGAGCCTGCCAGCCAGGTGTGGCCCGTGGCCCGGGAGGCCGGCCCCTCTCAGCGAGATGACAGGGCTTTCGGGGCGCTGGACTCTAGACCTCCGAGGGGGTTATCCTTACGTTACATCACAAAGCCGTGCAGAGGCCTCGGTCCACCCAGTCCTGGGCGTGTCAACAGGGAGCGGGCCCGGGGCTGTCTCAGCCATGCAGGGGGCCCCTGGGGGGGAGAATGCTAAATGCACCGGGCTTCCAGCAGGGGCTTGGCGCAGCCCCTCATCCAGGGCACACACGGCTGTTCAACGGGGGTCTTCGCAGAGTAGGGGGTGCACAGAGCTGGTGTGAGCCCACAGGGGCGGGGTGGAAGAGACGGCCTGAGCTCAGCCCTCGCCCTCACCGATGCTGACCACGGCGGGCCCGGCGGGGCTCTGGCGCCGGCTGGCTGCACAGCGAGGGGAGGGCTCTTCCAGCTTGGAGATGATCTCAGGCAGGGGCTGTCGATCCCACTCGCCCTGCGAGGGAGGGGCCAGGGGGTAAACAGGCTGGAGGGAGCAACACAGGGGCCACCCCCCAGGCACTTCGCACAGCGACCTCTTGGGCTCTTGCCCTTCAACTCACCTTGTCCCAAACCCAACTCACCCGCTCCCCACCCTCCATTGCCCCTTGGGGTTCCTCACCTGGGAGTCATCCTGGGCACCCCATCTGCCTCCTTGCCCACCCCTCACTTTATTCAGAGAAGCAACGGGAAGCCCCAGGGTGCAGGCTGTTTCAGCCATTCTCCCTCTCCACCCCGGCAAGCCTGCCTCAGGGGCCAGTTTAACCACGTCTGACGGCTACACCTGCCCCGAACGACTGGGACGAGCCAGTGTCAGCCCCGCCTGGGTGCTGGCACTGTTTGATTTAGTAATCAACCCAGCTCCCCAGGGCTTCCAGGAAACCTGCCTCCCAGATCTGCAGGCTGCAGCCTCCTTGCTGCGGACCTCAGCACCGGCCTCAGCCTCCGACAGGCAGCTCCAGGGGAGTAAATGAGATGCCTTTGAATCCCAGGGGGTCTCAGAGAAGGAGGCGGAACCAGCTTGCAGTTTCAGACTGTTTGGATTCTCACCTGCCCCTCCCTCCGCACTTTATTTTTAGGCTCTGGGGGAGGCTGCTGGCGCCCGGCTCACACCACCAAGATTAGCCCCGTGACTGAAGGGAGCGCCCTTCTGGGGTGGCTGTCAGTTTCTCCCTCTGTCTGCACCCCCAGAGGTCTCTAACTGTCTGTGTGAGTGCTTCTTGCCAGCTCCTTGTGGGGGAGACCCGTCACCCACGCTGGCCGGCGTTCTTGGTGGGGGACGCGGGACACAGCGGGGCGGGCAGCTGCAGACCTGCCCCTGGGCACCTGGAAGCGGGGAGGGCGTCACCGCGACAGGGGCCCAGCTGCACGCGCCCCTGACGCTGCCTGGGCAGGGGTACCTGGAAGCGGACGGCCGAGGACTTGTTGCAGTGCACGGAGATGGGGGCGAAGCCGTACAGGGCCCCGAGCACTTGGCGGCTGAAGGAGTTCCAGGGCACAGAGGCAAACTGCTCGGGCACAGAGGCCTGAGGGCAGGTGCAGACTTCCTCGCTGTTGAACCTGGTGGGGAGAAGGAACAGCCCGGGGTGGGATATGGCAGAGGGGAGGAGAGCTCAGCAGTGCACATCTTGCAGGTGGGGTGGGGTCCCCAGAGCAGCCCTCAGGCCACCTCCTCCCCAGCCTCCTAACACACTGCCCTGGCCCTGCCTCCCCACCAGCGATGGCCAGTATACTTCTCTCGTTCCACCTTGGATCAGCTGGAAGTAGCTGCTGTAGGGCTGGGTGGAGGGAGCTTCTCAGGCCAAGTCCAGACTCAACAGGAGGTGAGAGTGGGGATCAATTAGTGATGTCTGCCACAGGCACCTCATGGGAGAGTGGAGGCACGATGGCCACATCTGTGCTCACCCTGCTCCTGGACTCCTCACTCTCCCCCAGCTGCCTACCAGGGCATGGGGGGCTCTGGGCTGGGGCTCCCTGGCCACACCCAGGGCTGGAGAGCAGGGCAGCGCCCTCCCTGTGGGGCCGTCACCTGTTCACCAGGTGGAAGAACTTCTGCAGGAAGCCGGGGTCCACGGCACTCTTGCAGAGCTCCAGCTGCGACCGGGGGTAGTAGTGCGCGTAGTTGACGCACATCTCCTCCAGGATCCCGAAGCCCCCCTGCAGGACAGAGAGGACGCCCGTCAGCCCTGGCGCTTCGCTCCTGGACACTGCCATTCAGCATTGCCATTTGTTCACTGCGTTCAGCCATTCACCCCTTCATCACGCGGTGCCGGTGATGAAGTCCCTGCCCTCTTGGAAGCCCCACTTTTGACGAGAGAGATGGAAAGCAAACAGGTCAGCCAGCAAGCATGTCTCAGGTGGCGGTAAGCGGTAGGAGTCAAAATACTGCGGAGGCAGCAGAGAGGGGCATTCGTGTACCCATTTCGTGGATACAGAAACTGAGTCCAAGGCAGGTAAAGAGCAAGGCCTGAGTGGACTCAGGCTCCCGACCTTGGCTGGGGAGCTTCCCCCTCGGACTCCAGTGTGAGCCTGGGGACTGAGGACTGCAGAGGAGGCCTCCCGTCACAGCAGACCCAGCCCGTCTCCCAGCCATTTCCAAAGCTTTGCCCTGGAAGGAGCAGGGATTCCAGAAGAGAAGCCGGTAACTTAGACGTCATCACAAGCCACCCGGGGCCCAGGTGAGCTCTTAGTCCTGCCGCCACTGGCTTTAGGCCCCTGGCCAGGTCCCTGCTCTCGGAGCTGCTGAACGTGGAGCCCAGACCCAGGAGAGGAGGGGCCAGTGGCAGAGGAGCCGGGCTGGACTGGCCCACTGGCGGGGGCGGGCGCATGGCCCCGGGCCGCCTGTGCCTTGCCGGGGCTCCCAGCGCTTTGTGAACGGTGAAGTGGGTCTGGGTGGGGTTTATCTGGCTGGTGGGAATGCTTGATACTTTATGGCAGAACAAAAGGATGATAAAAAGCCCCTCTGAGGGCTCATCTCATTCCCTCCTCATCCCAGCCCAGCTTGGACAAGGCACTGGAGCGGCTCTGCTCCAGGACGACTGTTTAAAATGGAAATTCCCAGGGGAGGGCGCAGCTCAGCGGCGGAGCGCGTGCTCAGCAGGCACGAGGTCCTGGGTTCCGTCCCCAGCGCCGCTATCAAATACATAAACAAGCCTGATTATCCCCACCCAAAAACATTTTTTTTAATTAAAAAAAAGGCAACCCCCAGAGCAGCTGTCAGGCCCCTGGCTGGCTCCGGGGGGGCGGCCTTGCACCTGTGTTGCTCCCTGGCTCTGAGTCCCTATTTCCTGGGGGGAACCAGGGCTTCCATCACCGATCCTCAGACCGGGAGGATAACCTCCCTCCCAAGATTCCACAAATTCCTGTTCCTTGTACTATTCTTCGCCTCAAACATCAAGAGAGTCCCAACCCTCTGGAAGCTCTCCCTTTGTCTTGGCCCCGGGAGGGAAATCACATTTCAAAGGCCCTGTCCCACAGGGCAGCGGCCTGGTTGGTCAGAGTTCCCCAGGGCAGCGGGCCCCAGCGGTCAGAGTTCCCCAGGGCAGCGGGCCCTGGGCGGTCAGAATGCAGGAAGGTCCAGCTGCCCTCTGCGATCCCACCTGGTGCTGTGAGGTAGCCTCCCAGAGAAGGGTGGGAGTCTGCGGCCTGGCGACGCCAGTGGTGCTCGCCTGGCAGGAACATCCAGGGAGTGACATCAGTTGGCCTGGATGAGGTTGGAAGGGGCAGGGAGCGTGGCCCTCGCTGAAGTAGCACTGAGCAGGGTCTGCCTCGGGGGCTCCCCTTCTCTGTTCACTGGCTGGATGTCCAATAAGTGCCTCCCCTGCCGTCAGCCCCAGTGGCCTCACCTACTGAATGGGAGACTCTGTGCTCCACCTGGGGCTTACTCATTGCATGAACTGCGCTCTACCAAGAGGCAGCACATGTAGGGTGGGCACCTGGCCCAGCTGTGCCCCCTGCTAGCTGGGTCCCCTCATTCGCTCCACCTCACTGTCTCCTGGGGCAGCTGCCTCCTAGGGCCCTGGCCAGACTTTGAGGGTTCCTACGTGGGGACACGGTGAGTCGTTAGAACAAGCCTCCACGTGGAGCAGGTGCCCCACATTCGCAGCTGCGTGTTATGTACTGAGCCTCTCCTCACAGTATCGTAAAGAGGGTGCTGGGGCTTAGGGCAGGGCTGCCTGCCTACAAAGCTCTCCTGCCCCCCCCGAGTATGTGACCATGGACTCAGAGAAGTTGTCACCCCAAATCCAGAGGTAGGAAGGAAGCATGAGGCAGGAAATTTGCAGGCACTCATCTCTGGGTTAAATCCTAGCCATCAGCTGTGTGGCCGTGGGCAAGTGTCTCCCCTCTCTGAGCCTGTTTCTCACCTATGAAGACAGAGACAAAGATTCCTACCTCGGAGACAGGTGTCAAAGCTAAATAAGATGTGGACACACCCCAGTGTCCATCCACAGGCGAGTGGTGAAGAACTGTGGTCCAGCCATGTGATGGAGTCTCACTTAGCCATAAAGGGGAATGGAGCACTGACTCACGCTGCTACGTGGATGACCCTTGGAAATGTGATGCTGAGTGAAAACAGCCAGTCACAAAAGGGCGCAGATCATATCATCCCATTTACCCGAAGTCCAGAATTGGTGACTCCATAGAGACAGCAAGTAGATCAGGGGTTGCTTGGGGCTGAGGGGACAGGGAGGGAGTGTAGGGGTGTCGGCTGGAGGATTCAGGGTTCCTTGTGCGGTGATGAAATGTTCTGAAATTCACAGGTGATGGCTGCACGTAGCACATACACTCAACGCCGTCGAATTGCACACTTGGAATGGGTGAATTGTACGGTGTGTGAACTATACCCAGAAAAGCGAAAGGAGCCAGAGAGCAAAAGCTCAATAAACGCTGGCTGAGTGAAAGGACAGAGCGGTGCCAGGTGTGGACCGCGGTTCCGGGGGCATGGACGGCCGGCTGGGATGTAACCCAGGTGTGGTCCGCTTGGAGCCTCGGGATTCACGAGATGCTTGCTGGGAGCTACAGCGACTAACAGGACAGTCAGCAAGGCTCCGTCAGCAGGCGGCCAGTGTGCCCGGGGCAGCCTGGGTGGATGCGCGTTGACCCCCCGTAACTGTCAGCAGCATCCCCTTTCTCCCCAGAAGTGCCCCAGCTGCACGACACGTCGTGTGACCACCCATCTGCTGGCACTGTCTGCACACCCGGCCTTGAGGACAGTCTCTCCCCTAGTAGCTCCTCCTCCCTGGCTGTCCAAAGTCCAGCCCAGATGAACCCGTGTCCCCTCCCTGCGGAGCAGAGTCAGCCATAACTTTGCACAGAATTGTCTTTGCGCGAAACCCAGAAGGGCACGGCATGATGATGAATGTTTCTGTCGCCCCTTTAGTTTTGCTGATTAACAGTTAGAAAAGCAGGGGCAGGGCGACCTAAGGTCGGAGAATGTTCTTTGTCCTCCGGGCCTTCCTGCCCACCTCCCCTCTGCCCAGAGCCCTGATTCTCCTTCCTCTGCCCCCATCGCCACCCCGCCCCGTCCTTGGTCTCTGTCTGACAATCACTCCTCCACCTCGTTGCCCTGGCGGCAGGTGTGGCAGACCTGTCTCCCTGGGCGACTGAGCTGTGCGGAGCAGGGAGCAACCTCATGCCCATGGCCTCTCCCAGCACTGGCTCTGATGCTGATACACATTCACTGCAGTGGCTCTCGAATTAGGACAGCCATCAGAATAACCCAGGGAGCTTGTTAGACCACAGATCACGGGTGTCACCACCCAAATCCCAACTCTGCATAGGTCTGAGGAGGAGTGAACGAGCTTATGTTTTTTTTCACCAAGTTCCCAGGGATGCAGGCTCAGCTGGTCCAGGGACCACAGCCCGAGACCCACTGGTGTATTGAATGGGGGTGGGGCACCTCGCCCTCCGGCAACCTCCGCTCCAGATGAGGAGTTAAGACTGGTCCTCATGAAAGTGTAGGAAGTCCCAGTTTGAACAGCCCCCCCAACACAGCCACACGTGCTCCCCGGGCAGGTGGCAGAGGGAAGCTGGGGTGACTTACCACGGTGGCCAGCTTCCTGTCTTCCGTGTTGTATGTGCAGGAGGTGATAAGCACGTCTCCCTGCAGAGCCAAGCCAACAGACGCCCTCTGGCACCTGCCCACCTGGGGTGCCAGGTGTGCTGGGCCCATCCCACGTGTGTCTGTGCTGGTCAGTCCGCTACTGAGGAACCCACAGGTGAGGTCACACTCTGAGTGTCCCCAGGGAGTGATTACCTGTTGGCTTCTGCGGCCTCTTTGTACAGGGGCCGCGGGCTGTGTCAAGCCCCCTCCTGGCCTGGGACTCCCCTCCGGCACCGTCAGCGGCCCCCACTGACCTCCAGGCCCTCGTCTCTCCCTAAAGCTCTCTGGTTGGTGGTCGGCTAATCGGGTAGGCGGAGCCCATCACCCGGAGCACCCTCTGGTCCCGTCCCCTCTGGGCCTCTCCTCGCAGTCCCAGGGAGCCTCACGGGGGTGCGGAGCCCCAGCCCCTGCCCTGCGCGGACATGGTTCCAGAAGACCTCCCATGGCCTCCGCTCTCCCCCATTGCGTCCTGCCCCTCCCCTCAGGCCTCCCCGTCCCTAACTGGGCACTCACCGGGTGGACAGACACGACCTTCTTCAACATGCGGATCTCCTGGGGGGCGGGGCGGAGGGCGGGGAGAAGAGGACGGGCTGTCAGAGAGCTCCAGGCCCCGCCCCCGGCCCCGCCCCACCCGCCCGCCCCCCGGGGGAGGCCAGGGTTGGCTACAGCTGGCCTCTGGCCGGGGAGGGATTAGGACCCGAAGGCAGTCATCTCAGGGATGCCAGGTGCCCCTACGCCCACAGTCGGCCACACACCAGAGTCCCCCACCAGAGTCCCTCCCTTAGAGTAAGTCCGCCAGAGGAACCAGCCGGCTGTGTGTGCTCCTCGGGGGTCTGTGCCCGGCCCGGGAGAAGGAGCCCCAGGGTGGGCTGTGGGGAGAGAGGGGGTCCGACAGGGCGGGAGGGGTGGGGGGGTCCCTACCT